ATTGGTAAGGCCGGCACATGCCTTGGTACGGCGTAAGGGGACCGCACCTGACTAACGGCAGAGCCGCGGAGCTCGAGCGATGTGTCCAACGCTACTCTGCAAGAGGCGAAGGCCCCGGCCGAAGTCGGGGCCGGCGGAAGACGGGGATTCAAGTTCACAACCCGACGGACGCCATCAACTGAGCATGGTGTGTGGGAAATCGACTCTCGGATCGACCAAACACAGCGCAAGCTCCGACGATCCCTGCAGCCAGGAAGCTTTCCTGGGTGACCTGGCTCACGTCATAGCACATGTCACATCACATGCACACGGGCACACGTCAAGCAGCAACAGCACAAGGCTCGAGGGAAGTAGATGGTTCATGGCGCTTCTTGCATCTGCCGGGCCTGTGTCACGACCGCACCCGTCCGCGTCTTGACAAAAACAGGCGGCCTCGAGGGCGGTCACTTCGAGTTCCGAGCTTGAGATGCCCCCGGCGCTTTGATCCCGAGGCCAAGGCAGAACCCGCGCTGCACCTGAGTCCGCGCCGCGCATTTCCGCACCAGGCTCGTGGATTCCCCTTCCGGGCATGCAGCAACAGTCTGGGGCACCGACTGACCTCGCGGCTCACCTGGACCTTGGTTAACGCTTAAGGGCCGTTGGGACCGGCATCAACCAAACACTGGTATGTCGGAAAGGGTGGGGACGAGAACCTGAAGAAGTTCGCTGAGCAGCTAAGCGCCGAGCGACAGTCCTCCCCTCGCGTGTTCGCGGGGTGGGTGATGCGGCGCGCATGCTACAAGTTGCTGCTAGCTACTGCCTCCACCCTTCAAAAGCTTGAGCCAGCGAGGCTTCGTCGGCGAAACACCAGCACAATGCTTTGATTCATGCGACCTTCCCAAAACGCTTCTTGCCGACTGAGCACTCTAGCGTAAAGCAGTCCTGCTTTTCAAGATTCAGATCTGTTGACGAGGTGATTGTGGCCGACTTTTCTGGCCGACTGCTTCCCAGCACTTTCCCCGCTGTCGACAAGTTGAACGCCGCTTTTTGCGTCTTACGAACTGCACTTCGCCAGCAGGGGCCTGCTTCTTGAAGCAATGTGGACAAGTAGATAAACAAATAAAGGAAACAACGAACAAGCAAAGACAAAAAATGTAGTAGTCAGACTTCGTTGAGCGACGACCGAAGCTGCTACATCTGAAGTTTAGGGGTTCGGGAATAAACCTTCGACAAGGGTTTGCGGCGACGAAACACCAGTTCAGCACTAAGTCACACAGCCGGAAGTCTTCGTACTGCATGCTTCCCCAAGCCAAGTTACACAAGAGCGGACTGCAGACGGCCACAGAACACAAAGTCGGCAACGACTATTGTTTGGCCAGAAAGGCGACAATCAAAGTTGGTGCTACCTGTTTGGGCAGACCCACAACATGCAAAGCTGGCGCGAGCTGTTCGGGATTTTGGTTTTGGGGAAATGTTTCAAAGCCGCACACCCGACGAACCCGACGAACCGTTGCGTGGCTGCGAGAGCTGGGGAGACGAATACACAGACCTCGGCGAGCAGCCGGAACACATGTCAACAGCCTGTATGTCATCAGAAAACAATTTGACTGGAATTCTGGGTCACGCCGCAAGAAACTCAACGAATACTTACTAGTAACGAGCACAGATCTCTTCGTTAATGGACTGGCCACTCATCGGCTTGGGGCGATCACCGGATTGCCGAAGGTGACGGTCGGACACTTGCATGTCTATCAGGATTTAGCATGAAACCAATATCTCAGCATTCGCTATATGCCGATTTCCTTTATCCTACGCTCAGCTTTCACTTGAGTCAGTACTCAATCTCACCCCTGGGGTCTTATTGGTGATCAGCCATGCCCCATCATTCATCACCAGGATCGTGAGCTTCAGACCTTCAACTTCTGCTTCGAGACTTTCTGGCGATCACCCACGCCCTCCTTCACCTCCGTGACCGACTTCCACCCTCATGACTATGGCCCTCTCTTCTGGTAGTTGTCATCCATGCTGTTCAGGTGGGCATTTTGCCTCGGGGATGCAGTTGATATCTGAGGTTTCTCATCTGCAGCCTTTCTCGCGGAATTTCCACGGCACTTCTGTCCCATGTGTGGGCCCCCATGCGTTATGCATCCAGATCACGGACGCATGCCACACATCTATATCTCCCATTTCACCTTTCATCACAGGAACTTCATTAATTCGCTTCGTTTATCTCGCTGTCCAACTTAGCCTATCTGATACCTAACTCATTCCCTTCACTTGTTATCTTCCTTTCTCTTCCACGTCCTGATCGTCTTCCCTTTGCCCTTCCCTCTCCCCGTGAAAATGGTACCGCTCAGTGACTCAGTGTTGACTCCGTGGCTGACGACCCAGCTTCATCGTCAGTGCTTTCTTCTCGCCGACGGTCTTGATCCTCGCCCTCTGGGTGGATAGACCTCTTCGTCTTCCATCCCTGATGAATCCTCTTGTTCTGCCGCCATCAGTCCACAAGGGAAGGAACTGCGTGCAGTCCGGGGCGACCTTTGCAAACGTAGGGATTGCTGGCAGCTGCTTTCTCTCCCTTTCGGAGGCTCAGGCCCAGGGCTTTTTTCTCTGGTCTCTCTCACTCGGCCTCGTCTCCAGCGGCAGTCCCATCTCCTTATCATCCCTAAGTGCACCAGAAAATGTCCGTGAGGACATCTCCTGGTTCAAAACCAAGTGCAGCAGATGTGGGATGCGGGCAGGGCATCGCTTGCTGTTTTGGCGGACCTGCTCGATTTTTTACTTCTCCGTCACATGGCTCGGTTCGTGCCAGCAGTTTCTAGATGCACAATCAAGGAAAACTCAAGACACGCGAATCTGCTCCGTACTCGTGCATTCGACGTGGCATTCAGCATACGTCCTCATCACACTGGAAAGGCCAAGAAGGTCCGCTCCCTGACTGTTCAAAGTTTAGGATGCAAGCACTTCCGCAACCGTCGACTGCCGAGTTATAGAGCCTGTGTTCCCTCAACAGGCTCACGAGATTTTTACAGGGTCACCGGGTGCAGCATGCTTCAAGTGGGCAGTGGCGGCCATTCACCGTTCGTGCACACCAGATGATTCAATGATGGAGCATGTGCCCTGCTGCACCAGGGAGTCGTGTGCTCCTAAGGAGCGCTTGTGCAGACTCTTGCTCAACGGAGTTGCCAGGCTCCGCCTAAAACCTGAGTCCAGGTACAAGTAGAGTTCTGGCGAGTTCCTGGCTCCGCAGTTTTCGCTGAGAGGTCGGCTGAGTAAAGCCGGCCGATGTGCCGGACATGAGCTCACGAGCTGGCCCGGTCCCTCCCATCCTCACGGCATCAAAGTGGCATCAATGCGGCATCAAAGATCCTTGAAAACCTCGCCGTGGGAGGCTGAACCTCTCCTCTTGCAAGGCTTCTAGGATTCTGGGGTCCACACCATAAGCCGGTGGGCTGATCTCCATGCACTGGGTCCTGTAGCACGGCGCTAAGAGCTGGTCGTGCTATCGCGTGCCATCACCGTGGCGCGACCGAACTCTCTGTCGACGTCTGACCAGTGGTCGCAGAGCTTCCAAAATATGCGGTAGACGAAGTTACAACGGCTAGAGTCGAATCCAGATTCCTGCTCCGGATTCTTGGTGCCTTTCGTGTTCCTGTACTGCAAACTGTCTTGCATTGTCTTTGCATCGGATTCGGCTTTAGGTTTGCGTCGCGTTGAGTGCTAGCGAGAGCCGAGAGTGCAGCCCCTCAAAACAGGGCAAGCTATCATCTGAGGCGGTCCCCTTCTGTCAGCTCTGTATCAGCAAGAAGAGGTGCAGGTGCTCGCTTTGGCCCTGTCAGCCTTGGCATCGCACATGAGGAGCTTGTGCACATCACGGCAGAGGCACAAGCCGCGGACCACTTGAAGCACTGCCAAAAAGAGATGACTGCGCAAATGGCGACCTGAGCTCGCCAAACTGTGCGGTGATCCCCTGAGCTTCTGGTGCGGGCGATGTGCATGTGCCTGTCTTTTGCGCGCGCTCGGGCTAGGGCCAGCCCGCCAAGAACCATGCCGAACATGGGCCGAGATTCGATGTCCATGACCTCCTTTTCCACACGCTCGAGGGATGCTTTAGGAACCGATGCAAAACACAAGCAAGGGTGCCTCCAGGATTCCTGTTCCATTGGTTCCATTTGATGCGTTGAAAGAGGGGGAGGTTGAATTGTCCTTGTGTGCAAAGTGCAGCGCTTCAATCTGCGAAAGTCATAAGTCCATTTACTCTTGCAGGGCTCGCCTGGCCAGTGACCTTCATCCCCACCTCCCACATGCAAGCTTGCACGACTCTTCCCGGCTGCAAGAACACATGGTTGCTCGCGAATCGGGCCTTTGTGCTGTTGGGGGCAGCATCTGCATCGCCGCTCGCAAAGACAGCAAGGAGGGAAGCGGCAACCTGGAAATCTCTGGCGTCTCTCTCTGCACGGCTCTGTCAGTCTTCTGCCCTTGATCCTGCAGCTCCAAGACTCCGGCTGCGAGCTGTGTTGACGTTGGCTTCATGACTAACTGGAATCGCAAACCTTCCCCTTGCAATACCAATCTACTGTCCTGGAAGTTTAGTTCATCAGTGTCCTGCAATGGACATGGAGCTTCGAGCCAAGACACCAGGAGCATTTCTACCGTTCGCACTCGGGCTTCGTCAAGCGCGGTCTCAGAGGAAGTCAACCCTGGCAGGCTCGAGATGGCTTGAGCAAAGCCTCTTCGAGCAAGGGTTTGCAATGCTCTGCGTTTCCAGATCTTTTCCATCTTCAGATGCTATCAGGTGCTCGTCATCCTTCAATTCTTGAAGGGCGGCAGGTGAAACACAAAGTAGGACGCTGAGCATTCGAAGAGGCACGGGGATGCTCTGCAAGCACCGTCTATGTAGCCAACGGGATGGTGATTCCCGTGGCGCCGCCGTGCTATCCAAGACGACTTTTGTGGTACTTGTCGACTTCAGCCTTCAGGCATCGCGTCATCCCCCCGATCCGGCTTCACAGAGCGCCAAAAACCGAGGAGCTGGCCAGCGAATATCCTTGTTGAGAGGTCAGCCAGTCGCGCCGCCTCGTGCTGGAAGGGTGCAGCAGCTTCCATCGCTCAGCAACATGCCGAGGATTTCCGAAAATCGCGAACCCCAAATACAGAGACTGCATGCTGGGATCCTGCTACAGCACCGGCTCATTTTCGGAAAGCCTCAAATGCGGCGACAAGGACGGCCTCGCAATCTCTGTGCGTGGTGCCTCCATCACCCGATCACGCCTGGCGCTGGTGGTACTCATAGCTCCGCTGCAGTGCCACGGTGGAAGCCGCGGAGCTAAACATGCAAGCAATGCCAGGCATCGTAGTCTGACATCTTTTGCTCGTAGAGCGCAACCGCGCTGGCACACTTGTCGAACTTCCGCTGAGCTGGCCAGAGAAATCGCTTTCGGCAGTCGCACTCGGGCTTTATGACGGTCGATGATCAAAGTAGGGGGGGGCTCAAGGCTCAGCAGTTGCCGCATTCATGTCGACCTCACTAACCCAAAAGCCCTTCAAATCAAATACCAAGACATCAACTAAAAGTAGGCCACGACGTGCAACAACGCGGCGACAATTCGAGATGACACTGGTTTCGGCACGCTTCGCCCTAATTACATTAGGGTACCAGTCTACTAGTAGTCTAGGGTTTTAAGCTGCATGGCAGCTGCAGCTCTGAGGGCCTTGGAACTGTCGCCACTGATGAGCAGCTTCTGCACGTGCTGCCCAGATTTCGTTCCGGCTACGAAATCGCCTTGGCCGCCACAGCAAGTCACTCCTTGTGCATATGTCGGCATGAGGACAATCTGTGACAGAGGTCCCAGTTTCTCTCCGAGAGCTGCTCGCGAGGCAAGTCTTTGGGGAGTCAGAAGACCCGACGTCACTTCTGGATCCATACTTACCATACTTCTCTACAACAGACACATTTGCAAGGCGCAAGTCGCTACTTCTTCCTGCTTGTTTTGTGCGACTGGCCTGCCGGGAAAACGGTGGTGGGCTCACCCACGAAAAACCTCATCTAGCATCATTAACGTGCAGGCATCTGTGCTCCTCCAGGCAGAAGTTAGAAAGTTGGACCTCCCAGGGAAACTGACCAGAGAGGCTGTGGAAATCGTTACGCCGACGGTCAGAGACAGATGCATCGCAACGGCAAGTGCTGTGCATGCTTTGCTTTCGTTGGTCGCACAAGTGCAGCCCAGCATACCACACTATCAGCATCGCGGTGCAAGACACACCAACGAACGCAGGGGGCTCAGGAGACGGCACCAACGGATGAGATTTCAACACTACGGCTGCAGTCTGCATTTCGGCTTGCCGGCCACACCACCCCTGAAGCACCCATGAAGCAGACAAAAAACAAAGGTCACCATTTGCCATGCTAGCTTTCGTGATTCAGAACTTTCCCTCAGATATTCGGCTACCGGAGGTGAGCTACTCATGGCACCTCCGACGATGTCACGAACTCCACGTAGGAAGGACAGCTGCTCATCCTAGCTGCTCATTGGTTGACTGTTTATCTGTCCCTGCCAGCTTGACATGACAGCGATCTCCTCTGGCTCCCAGGAGGTCTTCTTGCCAAACAGAAAGCCAAATGCCTAGCAAGGCTTGTTCTGCTATCTTCCGCAGCAGACATCTTCGGAAAGCGCCTCCAAGAATTGAGCTGGTGTGCAATCGAAAGGAGCCTTGCGGAAGTGTCACGGAATGCAGGTCTTCAACATGAGCAGAACCAGGGACCTGTAAATGCGCCGGGATGATGCGGACAAACGGCCACCTGCAGAAGGAAGGCCGCAACACTGTACCGAATTCCTTCGCGGTGAGCATCTTCACCGTTGCTGTGGCGAACCCTCGGAGCTGCAGGCCTGGCAACATCCTTCACCCAGGCCTCAGCCGCAGATGAAACCGAACGGATGTCCTTGGAAGATATCGTGCCTGGGTCATTGGTGTCTTCGAGGCTCTGGCAGCCGCTTGCTCCGGACAGCGCCGATACACGATGAATCGCAACCTCGGGGACAACTTCGACTGCCCATGTCCGCGCACGATGAACGCTTTTTTGGGGCACAGGCAGCGGGTTGACCAAAGCTGCTGGTCGCGAAAGTGCTGCGAAGTCCTGGTCAGAGCAAAAGCTGGGGCAGGGTTCAACTACTGTTTGCTGGAGGGAGGTTGCATGAGAGCACAGGCAGAGACACAGTCAGTGGACATGCTTCAGCATTCTCAGCTTCCTGTCTAGCCCGCTCTTGATCCACGTTCCGAGTGTTGACCCTGGCCCGGCCGTCAGTTGCTGAGATGAGGTGCTGGTCTTAGTAAGCTTACACTCGATAGCCGCGACTTGGAGGATTTCATGATGACCAAGTCTTTGCAGGAAGGGTGGCAGAAAGCCCGTGCCGCTTCCATCTGCATGTGTTGCATGCAGTTGGGCGACATAGCGACATAACCAACGACGGCACAAGACACATTAATTGCACATCGCGGCGGGTTCTTCCAAAGGAACTCTTTGCCCGGCATGCAGACATACTTTGCTAGCTGCTATAGCTGCTAGCATTTTTCGACAACTCACCAGACCAAGGCACACAATATGAATGACAAAATGCGTTTGCTTTATAGCGCTGATCTTCCACCCCTTGGTTGGAACTTCTTCATGCGCTTCGCGCTGTCACAGCAACACCAGCTGCACGAGCCTTCTCATCCTGGTTGCGCCCGGTCACGAAATCGAAAGCGATCGCTTTGTACCTCTCGCAAGCCGGCATCAACTCGTGCATCGACCCCTTTTTTTTCGGGGGGGGGGGGGGGGNNGAGGTCTGAGCACGGCCTCCATTGGTCTAATGAGATAGGCCCCGGAGTCCCGTCGTAGCCATAGCTTTCGAGGATCTTTGGTGCTGCTGCTGGCAGCTTGAGGGCACAATCTGTGACCAGTAGGCTGCGGCTTTCCTTGTGGAAAAACACGGCTTCGGCGAAAGTGTCCGTCACGGGCGGGGACACATAGAAAACTTTGCAGTCCAGCTCGTCAGCCCACGCCGGTGCAGGACCTTGGCCTAGGATGCGGCTGTTGCTGGGAACAGTAATCGGAGGAGCCTGGCCCGGCGTCACCCAGATTTCTGCTTGCGGGTACGTGCGTGAGAACTCTGCAAGGGAAGCTTTATGCTCCAAGGCAGTGGAAGGGATTACCAGGTGAGACACCTTCCCAAGTTCGTCCAACAGGCGCAAGCACTGCCGTGTTGGAGCAATCGGTGCCGAAACCCACAGTCCGCCGTTCCGCAGCTTCACAGCCGTCATGCGGATGTTGGTCGAAACCGATGCCAAGGCGATGCACTGCTCGAAGCCCCAGATGCGTCCAGGAACAAGTTCGGTTCGAAGCGTTTCCTTGTAGGGTGCCGGTGCTAGAATTGTACCAAGTGCAGCGTATCTCTCGTCAGAAGCTCGGAGAGCTGCATCAACCCCCGTTGCAGTTAAAGCAGTCCCCAGCACCGTCAGTGCTACTCGTCGGGGTGTCTCCGAATCTGCTTCGGGAGCCCTTGCTCGTCGCAAGGTTTGACACCGATGGCGGGACGCCCGACATGTTGCAGCAGTCAACGGCACAGCGGCCAGCAGCCACGATCGCGGAAGCCGTGGATCCTTCGATGTACGGAGTAAGCTTTGTCTCTCCGGTGTGGGGTGCTGGGGAACCAAGGTCTTTTCAGCCAAGCATTTGCCTGGAAGCAGCAGAGCCATTGCTCCAAAGGCAGACGGACAAGTCTGCTCAGTCGGCTTAGGTTGATGGGCAAGTTGATGGAGAAAGATCGGTGTTCTGGGCAATGCAGCTGTGCTGCATGTCCATTTGCAGTACTTGTATGTTGGGCAGTGGCGACTTTTCACCTTGACGCGAAGCTAAAACGCAGCTCCAATAATGATCAGTTATTAAGTCTCAAAGTTTTCGCAGAGATCATACATTGCACATCCGTGACGGCGGCTCTCGGCTCTTCTCCCACTGATGCTGCGCCTGTGGGAAAGGAATGCTCAGTCAGCCTCAAGACAGCTGCACGCTTGCAAGCCTGCACGACGTGCTGGCCCATGTCGCCCTTCGATCTCACCTGCAAAGTGTCATGCTTACTTGCGTGCCTCGTGAACATCATCTTATGCTGTAGAAGTGGCATGCAGAGCCAACCTCAAGATCGATCCTCTGCGACCAGTCTTTCACATACCTGATGTCTTGCATGCCAATGCCGGAATCCATGCTGCAGTGGAGGAAGTTTCATGGAATCATCTGGTCGGGACTGCTGTAGCAGAAGAATGTCACATGCTGGACATATCGCGCTCTGACTATGAATGAATAGATCACCGCACAGTGTTTTTAATAGGACTTGTCTCGAGATCCTGCTCTGCCCTGTCCGACTACAACATGTATTTACATTGCAGCACACAGTCATGCACACATCGTGCGGCGCACTTGTCCTCCAAAACATGCAGCTTGTGCATCATGGCCCTGGCAAGTTTAGGACATTCCGTGAGGCTTTGTTCGTAGTCCAGCACTGCACTCAGACTTCAGGGGGCAAGGACGCCGCGCTGACGTACTTCGATTTCGAGCAGCCTCGAGCGGCATGGCCTGGTGCAGGTTTCGTGGCAACAAAACGCATCTGGCTGTGTGCCGCCGCTGTCCTGCCCCGCGCTGGCCACGCGTGCGGAAGCCAAGCTGTTGGACCTGAGAAGAAAGCAACTCTCGAGACCCGGAGCTGGGCCCCAAGCTCTCTGAGCTCTCTGAGAGACGAGCATGATTCGGAAGAGGGCGGAGGTCGCTGGGAAGATGCTAGCGTCGTTTCGGGGTTGCACCGCGTGGCAATGTGCTAAAAGCTTGAATGTCTCTATTCATGCGCCGGCTGGACGCCTTTACTTTCCGACCACGCAGTACTTTCCTGGAGCCGTTTGCGCGAACCCGAACAGTAAAACTCCACAACGGAAGCTATCGCCAACAGGCACGTGGGACCGTGTCTTCAGGAAGCCTTTCGTGGCCTTTTGAACCGCCACACAAAGCATGAGACCGACATGTCGGTGGGTGATTTTTCTCACGCTCACCTCCCCGATAGCTGTCTCTGGCCATCAGGCTGCATGGAACGGTTAAGCAGACATACCGGCCCCACCACAGGGGACACCACCAGTGAGACGGCTTCGAGACAACGTAATGATGCGCAGCTACGCCTTTTTCTTTGAAGCCTGGCGCCATGGTGCACAGGGAGTTGGTACGCGGTGGAAATTTGCAGATGTACTTCGAGCACCATCTGACCTTCTTGTCCTTCTTTCGATCTTTTTCGTCTCTTTCACTTCTCTCCTCCAACTTGCTTGCTGAAAGGGGCTGGCAGTGCTGGGCAGCACCGGACAAAACCAGTTTCCTGTCCTTCTGCATGAGGAGCATGATTCCAAGGCCGATGACCCCGAAAATGAAGCCCAGGGCCACGAGCATGTACAACTGCATCCCGCATGCTGAGCACTGCTATGGCTTGGAAGATTAGAAGTCAGTTGAAGCACCTTGCTGCCAGAGCCGCCGGGAGCAGGGCGCTCCTTGCCAAGCCCAAGGGATCCCCAGACCATCACAGGCCCTCAAAGGCTCAGCACATCTAGGTCCTGCGGCGTCTGTCCTGAGAGGAAGCAGTGCAATCGAAAGGGGCGATGAGCAGTTGAGTCCGGCTCGGCCTGCGTTTCGTGATTGCTGGCTCTGGCTTTGAGCCTGGCGAGCGACTCATCGACACGGCGGCCTTTGCCGGTCGACACTCTACACACTGTCGCCTTTTTTTGCTCCTCCTGTTTCTTTAGCGCCTCTTGCTGCATTTCCATGTGCTCCTGACAGGAACCACGAGCGAAAGCAGCGGCCCGCTCGTGGGTGGCATTTCTTGGGCACCGATTTCGGGCGTAGAACATCCGTTAGCGGCTACGTTGTGCGAGTGTGGCCGCTGCCAAAGGCAAGGCGGCAATTGACCTCAAACATCTTCAAGCAAGCCTGCTGTTACTAAGACCTATCCTATGTTACTACACTCCCCAAGCAAGTTTCAACACTGGCTTCTGTCCGATGTATAGCGATGTCTGCAGGGCAAGCGGGCCATAGGCAACATCTGCCCAGCCGCTCCTTCAGCACCGTCTCCAGCAAGGACCACTGTCTATTGGAGGCCTGAAGCCCAAGAAAGCCAGACAAAGTGGGACGGCAAAACAACAGCAAAAAACATGGGATGCCTTGGCCGGCGGTTCATAAAGCTGTGCATCCTGCAACATCTCACAAGCAGCAGAGAAGCAAACCGTAGTCACAGTGATCAAGATCGCAGGAGTTCGTACATGATTCCGCTCCTTCAGAACATCGGAATTGCCGTCCGCTGCGGCTTTGGCATCCGCGTCTGGGATTTTCACGTAGCACCTGAGTCGTTTGCAGTAGAAGCATCGCATGAGTGGCCTGGCCCTTGACAGAAAGGGTGCAACAAGTGGACAGCCCGCACATGCGGGGCATGCACTTTTGCGGGGCTGCGCTCGATTGCAGTTGAATCTGAATGAGAGGTCTCTTTGCCAAAAATCACACGTCACTTTGGTGTGATCTTGCGATCAAACAGTAGCAATTCCAGCAACGGTAGGATTGAGAAAGCCACAGTTCTCAAGCTCAAAATACTCCCCATCTACCTTGGCAAAGCCACCGGCCTCAATGTTCTGGAGCGTACGGCGGTCAAAGTGACAGCCATCAGCAGAGAGCACGTGGTCTGGAGTTGCCAACTTCTGGGCTGTTGCGATAAAGCCATTGGTTTCGGACAGCACGTGCTCGACGAATAAGTAGTACCCACCAGGCTTCAGAACTCGCCGAATTTCGGACACGGCATGGTCAGGGTTGGCAACGGAGCACAGCGTCAGCGTACAGATCACCTCGGAATCAAGACCACAATACATCTGGGCACAGAGGCATCGTTGACAAATTCCATCTTTCTTTCGGAGAGGTCTAACCTACTCTAACTTTCCTTTCAGAGGAGCATTTCTCTTCTTGTTTTGCTTACTGGCTTTGAGGGCCCCCAAGCTGAGTTGGAGTTTCCATTGTTGACTCCTCCCTTGCTTGCTTCTCTTCTTTCTTGCATGATGGGTGTCTGTAGCTGAGGAGCCGCATCCGCACTCTGCCCTGGCAGAGGCAGAGCCTCGGCGATGCCCTTCGTGAAACGAAAAGAGTTGCCACGTTCCGGTGCCAGAAGGCCGACCTTCTTTGCATTTTCGATAGCATACCGCTCCATGTACTCGTTGGGGTCAACGCCCACAATGTCCATGGAACTAGGTGCCGACTTGGAGCCGAAGTACAGTGCATTCGGGAAACTGCCTATCCCCACTTCGACCACGACGGGGTTCGGAGGCAGCAGGCCCCACAGCTTCGAAAACAGTGCACGCTTCTTCTTCGACACTGCACGCTCGTAGTCGACCATGCCATAGGCCATGCCCTTGGCAAATTCCTCGTCTTTCCGCGCGTCTCGCGGCGGAAGTTGCGTCGGAGCGATGGTCACCTCTGCGTTGGCTTTGGCCCAGGAGAAAAACGGAAGGGCAGCCAGAAGCGCGCGGCGAGGTCCAGCAAAGCTTTCGCTTTTGGTGCTTTCCAGCGCTGCGAGCAGCCAAACTAGGCAACCGGCCTTGCAGCACCTGCTCCATTTCGACCACCGAGTGCGCCTGACACGTTCCATGGCCTGGCTTCCAGGCGGTCTGGCACTCTCGGAATCTCGTTTTCTGTTTCTTGCACCTTGGTCGCCAGAGTGCTAAACATTGCATCTAAGACCTTATATGATAACTTGTTCTGGTATAGGATCACAGAACCGCAGCCATCCTGCTGGGGCCAATTGCCCGGTCGAAGCATGACAAACACACAAGTCACACGAGTGTGATGAGCTCGCTTCCCAAGGTCTACGAGTGAACCACTGCATGGCTCTCGTGGTCAAATGGCTGTCATGGCCCAGATGCAAACTCAGCTGCCAGGGGTGGCGCGTTATCATCCACGTGTAGAAGATGGAGTTCATTGCCTGGAGGCTGGGGCATTCATCTACAATTGCCTGCAGCAAGAAAGAGGGCAATCGGTCGTAGAAGCCTGCTGCTTGTTCAGGCCACGTTCAGCAAGCCTTGGGCAGCTCAAGATATGTGAACAAGATCGGCACTTTCTCCACTACAGCTTTTTCTGCCTGCAAGCCTTTGCATTCTCTCGAGAAAAGAAAAAAACAATATTGGCCTGAGCTGACAACGTCCTATGGAACCTGACAACTCAACAGCATACTGCATAGAATGGGGGGTGAACGCAGCTGAGAGGCTGTGCGGCCAGCTGAGAGACTTCCTCGGAGTGCGTGTGTAACCTGCACACGTCTGACCAGTGCACAGCAGCGTCGGATATCGGGCTCATCATCCTTCAGTGAACCCCGGACTCACCCGAATCCTTTTGCATCCTCTTCCAGAAGAGTCTAGTCGAATCTACATCCCTGCTGACCAGAGCGGCCTCGCCATGGCACCTGCCACAGGCGACATGCTGTGATGAGAGTTGCAAGGTGCGAGTAGAACCGTCATGCCAGCGACCCTCCCCAACTGCTTGCGGCGCGTGTAAATGGAGCGTTTGGCGACCCTGTCCGTAGCAGAGTGTTTCGGAACTATTTCTGAAGGCGACATATGGGCCATGTCTGACCTTTGTTTCGTGAGAGCGATCCGTCCGTGTCGGAAAGCACGGATGGGAAGAATTACGGCATGCATGCCGTCGCACGTAAAGCTCAGTGTTGTAATGAGAAGTATTCGCCAGCATGCGGCAACGGGACACAGAATGAAGATGTGAATGCTCACGTCACTACCTATCGTCACGAACGTGTTCCGGGCCGGTGCGGCTCTTCCGTCTTCGGAAAGTCTTCATGTCCCGTTCCCGAAAGAATTCGGACCATTTTGTTTTCTCGTCTTCCTGATTCTGATGCAGCTGGTCCTTTAGATTTCAGCACCTTTCGTGCGTAGGTTACTTGGTCTCATTGTCCATATGGTGAATTGTGTGCCATGCGACTGTCTTTACTTTGCCCTCCGCTTCTCTCATGGAAACACAGCTGCGCATGAAAAGAATAAACAAAGCCATGCCCCTGCCTGCGAGGCATATCTTCATTCGCATGGTGCGATCTTCTTCTGGCATGTCCTGAAAACGAGATGCTGGTGCCAGAATTTGCATCGCATGACGGGAAATCCGTCCTTGTCGAAATCGTCTGCTTCAGGCTCTCCTCCGTCGGCTGAACTACTAACTGCCCGGGCTCGGGAGACTGTCTGATGCTGCCCGGTCCTGCACTTGCGCCATCGACCTGCGCAGAAGCCGAAGGCAGTGGCACTGGCTGAATCTCGGCCCAATGCCTCATCGAGGTCTTCCTCATCGTCGTTCTCCAAATCATCCAGGTCCAGGTCCGCATCATCTGCGACCCCCTGGTTCAAAGCTCGACTCTACAGTCTTGCCCAGTAAAACCGTCCGGAAAGATCCAGGCCTTCGCAGTCTCTGCTGCATTTGTCTCAGGAGACGCCTTATCACACGGTACAGGTGCAGCCAGACGCGGAGTGCAGCGAATGCAGAATTGAATCAAAATCAGAAGCTCGGGTGGAATTCTTCAATTCAAGGAGCAGAGAGGGCCAGCTGCGCTAGCACAAGGCACGCCACCGAAAGCCCCTGTAGTCACTGCATGCAAGCTTTTGCTGTCGGTTTTCGACTTCTGCGCCGAGACAAAGTCCGAGGCCACGGCGCGCATCAAAGCCGACAGGCAGAGGGCACCAGGGCCCAAAACTGAACCCCAAACAGGTTCTGAACTCCGAAACCTAAAACTACTGTACTCGGGAGCCCATGCCGCCAATCAGATAGGAAATCCAGCTGTTGGCAAGCCTGATACGGTTCGAAGTGAGGTTGAGGTCTCAGCTGGCACTGCGGTGCTCGGCAACATACTTTTCTCACGAGATGGCTCTTACCTTGCTCGCAACTTGTGCAGGCAAGCACCCGCCGGAACAGCAGAGTCTTTGCGCACATCGCGTGCAGATGGGAGGGCACGTGCCACGGAGAGGGGAAGAGAACCTTCTGCATAGGAGATGAGACGATCTTCACCTGGCTTTGGTCTGGTTGAGTCGCAACTTCTGAAGGCCTTGGTCTCGCCGGTATTCTGAGATCTCGGTCGTGCGGGACACATGGGCCGCCGCCCACCCTTCTGTCTCAGTGCTTCAGTGCTACTCGTCAGTGCTCGTCCAGCTGCGTAACTCTGTTCTGGAATTCTCGCATCCATGCGTCGCGTCGCAGACCAAGTTAATCCATGCTGTCCAGGTCCATCGCCATGTTCTCATGTAGCAAGTTCTGCAGTGTGCCGACTCCGAACTGCTTTGGCAGGTTCTCCCTGGATCACAAGTGCATCTGTTGGAACCGGTGGTGCTCAGTGCAAGTGCAGACGAGTCGCCCATAGAGCCGCGCCATGGATTCCAGCGCCGCCTTACCCTCTGACCTGGCTTTCGGCTGCGAGGCGCCATCCTCGGCAGTCCTGCACACAATGGGAGACTCGATTGCACATCTTTTCACTCCTGCCAGCACAATTAACCATCTTGATCTCCTGATCCTCGCAATCGCTAGAACTGCCAAGACCTCCTTGGCGCGGTGTTGCCCAAGGGCCACACAAGGATTGCTTGGAAATTCCTGGCACTGGACACTGGAGCTGCCCAGTCGCTGCTTTCCTGGATGACATCTCATCATCTGGGATTCCCAAAGCGGTCAGAACCCTGGGGGCCAACTCCAGGCAGGTCTTCCAGTCTTCTGCAATTTCTGCGATGCGCAGAATGCCTTGGCCCCAGATCTCAGAAACGATAGTCGCAGCCGAAGCTATCTTCGAGGTAGCTGCAGGCTGGGCTGCTGATCAGCTCTCGGAGGAGCATGTGCCGCGGCCCCAGAAGCTGCAAGAGACTCTCCCAAGCCGGACCCAGCTGCAAAAGCCTGGTACAGGCACTGATGGAGGCGGACAGGCTAAAGCCGCTAAAATGCACAACGGCATTGTGCGCCTTTTCCGAGCTTCTTCACCACTCAGCTTGCCAGGGCCAGCCAACTGCCCAACTGCAGAGGCAGCATCTGCGACCTGCAGCTTCGATTTTGATGAGGCAGGAGGCTTCAGTGCTGCACATCAGGCATCATCGAGCTGAAGCCATGGAGCCCGCCGGATATCCTCGGGTTCGCAGCCCAGCTGAGCAACATCTAGGCGCATGACACGGGACAAAACCTTCTGCCAAGCATCTTCCTCGGATGCCGCTTCTACGGCAATGCCCATCTCTTTGCGCAGGAACAGGCACAATCCCCTGGTTCGCTCGGCGCTGATCATCAGAATGGTCCTTAATTCACGTGGGCCGGAGGGGGAGAGAGAGAGAGATCTGAGACGTCTGAGCAGTCCCTTCAATCCGAACTTTGCCTGAGACTTTCACTTTCGGACTTCGCCCTCACTGCCGAACTAACGCAGACGCATCGGCCCATCGGCTGCCTTCACGGCTGCGATGCTTTCCTCGATCCCTGCTGGAAGATTTGCCGGCCGGTCCCCCGCAGCCACACTGCCTCGGCATTTCATTTCACGATTTTCACGATTCAATGATGACTTCAGGCAACAGCGCACACATGTGCCACAAGAATTTTCTCCTGGGTTTGCAAGGCAGCCGACGCTCCCAAGCACTGATCGGCCGACACACGGCGCAATCACAAATGAAGCCATACGTTGCCTTCCTGTCATGAAAGCTACTCTGCAGACTCTTGCAGGCCACTCAGCCATGAGAGCAACGGCTGCAAAGTCATACAATACAAACTCTGTTGTGCTGTGAAGCCACAGCGACGGTTGGCGTATCCACCACGGGCGTGTTGGATCAACGTAGCTGATCAGAACCTCGTCCCCGGCGCTGAGATCACGGACGCATTGCACACGATGTGTCCTGACCCGCCGATGCAGAATTCACTAGTGACACTAGTGAGCCACTGGTGTCATTGGCGGCCAGAGTCAAGAATGCCAAGTCTGCCTGCCCTTCGCCGGAATCTGCCAGACGATGGCAGCATTTGGACTGCAAGAGTGGTTCCTTGCGTTCCGGACACTGCGACGTCAGGCCATCATGCACAAGTAAAGGCATCGGCCAAATTTCGGAAAGGGAGCAGAAGTCGACTTTGGGTATATAGCTTCCGAGCATCAAAAGAGCTGCAATTGGGTCGCACAGCTGGCCAGCAGGCGTGGCGTCATCGCTGCACACCAAGAAGCTGTTGCAAGTCCTCCGATTGTTCATCGTCTAGCATCAACAGGATGTACTGAATCTACTGTGTGCAAAGCTGACAGAGGTTGACTTACTCAGCTGCACCATCATGCCTTGCCTGCCTCCCTATCCTCACCACTGCATCTAGAAGGATTGTACCGAAGGCTCAACTGCTCGTAGCAGTGGCAGATCACATCCGCCAGCTCTGGGCTGTGCCGAAGCTCTGCCGGAAACAAGGCATTGAGGGGCTCCCTCATCAACAGCGCCTCAAAGCGGAACGTGCAGCGGTCGGCCAAGTTGGCAGTCCCGCGATTTTACGGTGACAGCGAAATACGGGGTCCATGCCGGGGCAGGTCACAACTACAGTGGCAAATGCATGCAAAGTTGCAGCAAAAGCTTGTGGATCGCCTGGAATGTCCTCACAGTCCATCGAGCGGCAAAGACCTGGATTGATGCGCGACACCATGGGCATGTCCTCTGGTGGCGTACAAAGCTCGGCGAAATCGTCCAGCAAGGCCACAGCAAGCTTGGTGCACGGAGACGATTTGGGTTCTCGGCCACCTCGGAATGGTTATAGGTAATAAGAGTACAGTGGACAAGCAAAGACACGCATCTTCGGACGAGATGCTGTGAAGAAGGCGCAAAAGCCGGGAGATTGAGAGGGCACAGCAGACCAGCTGCTGCCAGTGGTCATGCTCTTCGATCCCCTGACTCCGAGCATGGTCCTGGCATGCTTGAAGCCTGAGCGCACAGCCTCTACACACCAACAAACCTTCCTTCATGCATCTGGTGGTGTCGGAGGCCAAGTGGCAGTTTGGCCAGCACCGGGCACTCCTCGCATCAAGTCTATAGCGCCAAAGCAAGCTCCCTGTCACTTGAGCACCGTACACGCGCTCATGGATGGCATCCTCGCTGTGCCACAGATCGCCCCGGCAGGACGAGCAAAATGCCGCTGTGCCGCAGCCCTTGCAGATCCTCAGACCTTGTTTGGACACTCCCACGCGGGCAGGCCACACAAAACTTCTGCCACGATCTGACATGTTGAAAACTCACAGGCTCGTCGTCTGGCCTGTTTAAGGTCCTCAAGCATGCAGCACATTCCTAGCGCAACACTGCTGCACCGAGTATTGTGTGGAAAAATTGTTCAGGTGGTTGCCCGTGTTGGTGGCATGTGTGGCTGTGTGAAACTGTGTCTATTTTTAAATGCACAAAGGGTTGAGATGCTGCTGAAACAGTTTGCTGTTCACCAGTTGCAACGTGTCAAGTGTGTTGAGTACTGGTGTCCTACAGCCTTTGGGAGCTTTGTGACTTGCCACACTTGCCACTCGAAGTTCCGACTTGTCGCAGGGTGTAACACACACTCCAAAACGTCCCTAGCCCCTGACTTCTCGAACCCAACATCTTCCGGGAAGCTGCCCCACAAGTACGTGGAACGATTCGGAAACGGAGCCTTCGAAGCGTGTCAAGTATCAACAAAGTATTGAATACTCGCAACACTAACGGTCCCTAACGCCATCCTTCAGACCACTGGCCCGGTCAACAACACCAGAGGCCTAAAACTACCGACATCTCCGAGCAGCTACCATCGTCACTGCTTGCCAGGCATTTCGAACAGCGGTTCTTCCACAGGTCTGGAAGGCAGACTAGAAGAGCTGCCTCCCAGTTCCAAGTATCTAATGGCAGAACAGCTTCTGTGGGCTTTTTGCCACTCCCACCTCGCCGACGAAAAGCGTCTCACCCTGGCGGAAGCTTCGAGTGCAATACCTCAGAACCACGTTCTGGATGTGATCTCCATTCCGGGATGATCTGCCTGTTGATTATAATTGCAGTTCCACAAGGTCAGAATCCGTCGTGCAACCAGCATGCAGCCCTCTTCCCTTCGCATCTTGCCGCACTTCCAGGCCCAGGTGTCGGAACCGGCGACACATGTGTCGCCCATGTGAGGCGGCACCACCTGTGAAAGGCCTCTAGTGTCGGTCGTGATGCTATATAACTCAATGTTCGCATAGAGAGACCCGGCACCCCACGGTGCGCTTCGTGCTTTCCTCAACATCCGATCCCAAATTGAAGCATGCAGGAGGTTTGGTGACAACGCCAAGAGTTCAGAGCTCCTGATGTCCTAGCAAGAAGTACGGCAAAAATGGTGCCATTTTGAGATCATGCTAAGCCCAGCGGTCTCCAACCGGCCCGAATTTCTCTGTACGCAAAAGCAATGCATCAGGGTAACTTTGTTATGTAATGCAAGGCGGAAGCCTTGGAGTTTTGAGAAGACACCGCTGCAGCTTCGGCACCCAGATATTGAAGTAGCAACTGCCAGGCTCGCCATGATCAACATCATGATGACCGTCGTCATGTGTAGTCATAGTCAGCATCACCAACATCACCATCCGTAATCATTACCGTGGCCCTCACGATCATCATCAGTGTGATCATGAAGAATATGGTGGCCACAAGGGTGGTCACAAACATCAAGATACTGACAACTCATAACGCTAGACTGACAGCTGCTGCAACAGCTGCCGGTGCTGGGTGAGATGGCTATAAGCAGGCTGTAAGCTTTAGTCGACCTCCCGGGTTTTGGCTTTGGATAACCTCCGGATTCCGCAAGTGACAAGGCCGCAGCAGCCACAACGCGGAAAATCGCTGGAGTGAAACTTCTGGAACTGCATTTGCGCAGCTTCCCAAAATCGCAATGTCGATCAAACGTTAGTAAACACTTGCCATGACATCTGTGGCAAGCATGGTGAGGTCGTGCATCTCTGCTTTGCAGGGAAGAACTCTCAGGACCTGGGACGAAGTGTGGTCACTTTGCAGGCAAGCACACTCCACCCAACCGCAGCGACAAGCCACCACACATACTTAACGACACACACACACACACAGAGCGAGATGCCTCAGGGCATGGAACCCAGCTGACGACAGCGCGCCCTGCAATGGTCTGGTTCCATCGCTTTTCTGAAGAAACCGTGGATGCGAAGCCATGTCCTAGCGGCAGCCTGTGATGAAGATCTGGTGACTTGACGCTCGAACCTCGGCAGTCCATGTGAGCCTCCTTCCTCTCGTTTAAGGAACTCTCCTTGCCCTTGCTCAGTCGAACCTCCGCATCTGCCCCTCTGCAAAACGCCGCTGCCTATGCATGAACATCGCCGAGCGACGATCCCACGGACACGGCACGCCTGTCGGAATGCAAGGCTCACAGCCGCGTGCAAGCTAACTCAGCCAACCGCACGGCCGAAGCACCTCTTGGCGGCAAGGGATGGTCCCGGTGAAGCATTCCTGCTCCTCAGCCATGCTAGTGCAGCAGAAGGCGACGAACATGACAACAGCATTGCGTGCCTGAGCTGCAGGTCCATTCCTGCATCCCACCTCGCAGACTGAGCAGTCAGTTTTGGGGCTTGCCAATGCCTGTCGTTGCTCTGTTAATGCGCACTTCAACTGAGATGACCGCTGAATCGGCATTCCAGGAAGCTGCACAGATGGAAGGTCCTCGGACTCAGTTTCGCGTGATAGTTTAGAAGAGCAGAAAACTTGGCTTGAACGCCGTCCTTGCTTCGCGAGGACGCTCTCCACCCGCTTTCCTTAGCGACTGAAGGCAGAGTACCCCATTTTCATTTTGCTGGACGAACAATAGAGACCAGACCGGGGCTGAAGCTGTGACACTCCGCTGGCGATCGCCCCTGGCCGGAGACCTGCTGCAGTCGCTACTCACTAAGGGGGTCCGAAAAGGTATGCATGCTTTAGACATGCGGTACTGCACGTTTTTCTTCGCAGCAGTGAAGCAGTCGTCACAGCAAATGTCTCTTCACATTACCCCTACGACGCACTCTCTGGGGCGGGCTCTGCGACTTCGGCTTCATCTGCTTAGTCTGCTTAGTGGAACGTGAAGACTGTAGCAGCGACATGCTCTTGGACTGGCTTGTCAGTGTCCTGAGAATCGCCCTGCAGGCGCCAACAGCACTGTTGTAGGTGGCTCGATCCGGTTTCAGGCCGGCCTCGAGCATCTCCTCTAAGAGCCAGAGGGCTTTCAGCATTTCGCCGGCGCGCTCGCAAGCGAGGATTGCTGAGCGATAGTTCGCTGCGGTGGGCGTTTTGGGAAGCCGTCGGATCTCGCTCAGCAGTTCCAAAGCAGGCTCCCAGCGCGAGGCCCTCTGGCAGGCCTCCATGGCGGCGCCGTAGGCGCTGTGCAGCGTCTGCACGTCCACGCCGCTTTGACTCCGCAGCTCCTCGAGGAGCTCCAGGGCCCAGCTCCAGGATTTCTTCGGAGCCAATCCTTCCTTGCAAATGCACAGAGAGGGCAGAGCAAGTTAGCAAAGCTCCCCACTCGACCCCTATGTGTCTCTGAATGTGCACTTTCGATCTCAGACCACCCGTGCCACACTTGCGTCCTGGAAGGACCAGGCAAAGTGCTCCATCTGCAGCTTTCTCAAGAAGGCAGACAGCCACTCGGGGTCGGGCCCCAGTAAGCCGTAGAAAGTCTCCTGAGCCAGACAAACGCTGCAAGTAAGCTGTAGGTACTGGTCGTTTCAACAGGGTAAAGTGTAAAGGGTTTGTGAGTTCTCGCTTGCTGCTCGGCCAAGTCTCAGCACTCCCATTGAAGAAAGTTAGCTGCACACGGCCCTGTGCGGCTTCAATTGGCCTCGATGCGTCCTCGAGGTGCAGCCCATGCACCTCAAAGCGAGCATGCCATGGGCCCACCACATCGGATCTCTGGCCATGAGACATGTCCAACAAACTACAGGCAGGCGAGCTACGGCTGTTCCGGAGGCTGCCAGCAACTGGAATCCAGGTTGGATCAATTGACTTCCTTGGCTTTGCTGACATGACAACCATTACGGCGCGATGGTGTAGCATGTCGGTGTGTCTGTAGCCACGTCCTGCTGTCGAGACGGCTAGTCGCACAGTAGATCAATGACTGCTTGCAGGCCGGTGATGGAGCGAGTCGGTGTAGCAACAAAACATCCTGCTTCTGAAGACAAGCTTCGCGCGGCATTTGAACCTGGCTTGATGCTCTTCACCGCCACACCACCACCCAATTGCGGCGGGTTCTCCTCGATTTGTATCCCCAGCCTTGCATTCAGGCCGGCATGCGACTCCTACGACGATGATATCTACATTACATACATCAGAGACAAGGGGTTGCCAATCTCAGAACGGATACGGCTTCTCCAGTGTCACTGTCACGTAGTTTGCTTCATCCATTGAGTCTACGAGCACCTCATGAGGACGGAGGACAGACTCCTCTACACCAACGGATCTGTCCGTATCTATGTGAAAATCAGCCCTGCCTGCCCTTGCCATTGGAAAGCCGAAGGGACAATTGAGGCTATGGAAACCTTTTGAACAAGTTGTGCTCCGAGCTGCGGATTCCGCATCAAGCAGGGGCAGCAGAAGGTCTGTCCAGGTTTCGGTGCTTTCAAAAGCCTCCTCCAACACGCCGGGAAACAGTGCTGAGAGAGGCGTCTCAAACCTCAGAGCTTTCTTCTCTGAGACCAGCTTCTCTTGCTTTGGCCGAATGTCGAAGTTGCGCTCAAGCCACTGGAGCGGCACATCCAAGTTTTGCAGCGGCGTCTCGAGCTCGATCTCTTCATCTTCTGGCACTACGGCCTCCTTGTTCGGCCAATTCTCTTCGATCTCTCCGATAACTTCGTTCAATCGTTGAGAGAGCCCTTGCTGCAACAGCGGGATTGGCGCTTCGATCTCCAGCGAATCATCTTCCGATTCCGACACAAACGTTTCCGTAGGTTCTGGAAGAATCAGACCTGCTTTCTGAAGCAAGCCCCTGACGTCGAGGCTACTCTGCCGACCCTGCCTTCTCTTTGCAAAGCGCCTTGTGCGGTGTACGGCCGGCCTGCGACCCGAAAGACCCCCAGAGAGTGCCACGCCTGCACCTGAGTTCAACACGAAGTTGCCGACGATGGCTGCCAAGCAACCCAACGCGACGTTCAGCAGCCGTGTGCGCATGGCTAGAGCGTGCTGTCTACATCTACATGTCTACGAAGGTCAAGCAAGGAACCTGCTGGGTAACCTTCCTGGGCCCAGCTTGCTCAAGACACCCATACATCCCATGCAGGCTTCTCTCCATCTGACGGCGTGTGGTCCGCTATTCGAGGCACACTTCTTGGACAGAGCCTTTTCGAGCGGGGGAACACTGACGGGTGAGGAAGGGAAACCTGGAAGTGGCCTGGGTGGTTTGGGCGGGCGGCTCATGGAGGAAGGCCCTCCCTCCGGGATCAGCGCAGGCACACCTCGGAACTTAGATGTAAAGCGCAAATGCCTTGCAACCTCCGGGACTGGTCTGCTCGGCACTGCACTCGCAGATGTTTTCGGCTTCGGAGGTGATGGTGCCAGCACATTCGAGATATCTCGTGACACCTCCAGGTTCACGGGGCGTGGCTCCTCCGGCTTCGCGGCTTCCTGACATCTCGAACAGCTTCGACCATTTCTTGAGGCAGGACAAAGAGGTGTCGGTGGGTTGCCAGCACAAGGCAAACGTCCTAGCGGTCCTATCGCAACATGACCGACCAGCCTGCAGCTCGCTGAGCATCAGAGTTGCAGAATTGTGGTTGTTCACCGCCTCGTGTCAAGTTTTATGGCTTATGGGACCAGAGTCCTAGACTTCCTAGAGGCCCGAAGGCAGACTTTCTGCAGGCCTTGATGCGGTCACCTGGCTTGATTGCGTGGCTGGCATGCTGTTCCTCATCACCACGGTCTGCCTCACACGCTTGCAGCATCACCGAGCTAGAAAGTTCGGGCTGTCACTCTGCCTGCCGCTCTTCGGCAGTGTTCCACTGGGCCACCGGTGTCCTGATGTACAGGTACCAGTGGCAAGTCAGAGGGCTATGCTCCATGATGCGCAGTGACAGGGATCTAGCTGCCTAGCTCAACTGGAGCGGTCCTTTGCCTTGGATTCTCGTCGACGTCATTGACGACCAACCTGGCGCCAAACCGCGAAATGGTGAACGATGAAGGGTGCCAAGGCAATTGCAGTCTGCCTCGCATTCGAATCGTGGCGCTTGACCTGGAACCAAAGGGCTCATGCTGTTGCACAAGCCCACCGGTGCGCCTTGCCTCCATGCCAATTCGGGAGATGGGGTCCGAATAGATCGTGGCCTTGAGCTTCACTCACATCATGCAGCTGTGTCGGTTACGGGCTTGTCAGAGCCTCCGTGCTGCGACAACTATCAGTTTACATGGCTGAGATTGCGGCTGGACTGGGCTTGTCCAGCTGAACCTCGGCTGGACATGCCATGCCAAGCACGGCGAGTGGCTTCAGCATGCATGCACAGGAACAAACTCGAACGATTGGGGCGAGCATCCCGGAATCGTGCAGATGTACCACGAAGATCACCTCGCATCCTCATCAGGCCAGCCTTCACTGCCGCTTTATGCCAGGCTGGTCGAGATTTCTCGGAAAAGCTCTACGAATACCATGCAATGCTGAGGTGCCGGGGGCATGCATGACGCTCAGCACTCACACTGTCAAGTAGCTCCCGCTTGGATCAACCGATGCTCTGTCCAGGTTTCTAAACTTTAGTTGGTATTTCTGCCGCTCTGTTCCTGCCATTGCCGGAAGGTGTTTACAGGGACGAAAAGCACCCAAGCCTGTGACGGCAAGCTGCTCGCACGCAGTTTCGCCGACATGGCTTCTATGTTCAGCTCCACCACTGCGCGAAAAAACACACGGCCAATGTGTCAGCCAGAGACCCGATTGATTTACCTCCCAGACATCCGATCGCTTACAAGGTTTCAAGGATGGGGCAGGCCGAAGAGAAAGGGATCATGTCACCAACCAAGGATGATGTTGCTTTTAATGGTCCTGCCACTGCGAGCTATCGGCAAACGCTGGCCGAACCCGAAGAGAAGTGAAAGCTGTGCCATGCTGCAAATGCAAACTGCAGACAGGCCTGACATGCCGTGGGCTTTGTTTCTGGCGGCACGCCGGGGTTAAGGTCAAAACAGGTTCTACCTCACAGGCTCCAGCTTGCAAGCTCCGAGAAGCTGGAAAGCATGCCAACGTTGGCTTCAAGCCCTTCAAGCCATTATAGTTGCAGAGAGTTGCTGACCGGTGCTCAAAATGTGCAAGGGCAATGCTCCAAGCAAGTTCATAGATTAGGTTTTGCTGTCTATGTCATCACAGCATCGGTCCCTGGGCAAGGGTCTGTTGCTTACGCAATCCGGCGGCCACCTGAGTCTACCTGATTCGGGCTTTGGGAGTGATTTGGGTCGAAGCAACCGACCTGTATCTGATCTGATCTACAGCCAGGTTTATGCAGTAATGCTCTCACATTGGCCTCGGCATGCCAGGCATTCCAGGCATGCTCGGCATTCCGCGGCCCGCACCGGGCATTGCTCCCATGTTCGGCAAGCCCATATTCGGCATCCCTGGCAACCCTGGCATGCCTGGGAGTCCACCAGGTCGGAGCCCCGCTGCCAACAAGGGGTTCAGCATGGGTGGCCGCATACCCGCGAGAAGTGCGGCTGCGTTCAGTGCTGGGGCCGCTGGAGCCTTTGCCGCTGGGGCAGGCTTGGCAGCCGGAGTGGCTGCAGGGGTTGCCTTCTTGCGCGGCTTGTCCGTTTCAACCAAGTCCTGCGCAACAGCCCGTCTGCTGATCGAGCATGAGCAGAGAGCAGGCGCGTCCTCCTTGCCAAGTTCCTCTGGCTGGATGTAGAGAATGCCGGTCCCGCGGACCACTATGAAGCCCAGCATCCTGTCCGATCAAGCCGATGCACAAGACAGAGCATGGTCGTTTCGCCAGCCTCTTGAGCTCTTTACCCTCAGGCTTGCCCTTGACCTTGTACTTGCGATACTCCTGCGACCAGCCACACGCACTTTCCTTGACGAGGCAACCCCGCAACTACTCTCTCAACCGACCTCGGTGTTGCAGAGAACGATATTCACATGCCTGGCAAACACTTCACAGCGGGCGCAGCCACGCATGGGACAAAGACAAGCTGGGGCCTGTCTACAGCCATGAGGACACCGACCAACACTCGGCCATCGGTCAAGGTGACGCTCACCTCAGCTCTACAAGACTGTACATATTCCCAGAAGAGCCGATCCTTTGCACTGCGACGTGCTGCGAAAGCCTGTGGGAGGCACACGCCAGTTGAAGAACTGTGCCAACTTGCGCCTGTCCATGGGTGCTAGATGCCACATGGGAGTCCCACAGCCGCTTGACCAAAGCCCCAGGCCTGACAGCTCGGACTTTTCCCATGTTCTGTCCTGCACATGCCAGGCCAATCGCATCCCCATCATCCCCGTCCCACTCGGCTTCCAGAGGCTTAGGGGGCACTGACTCGCTCCTTTGGATCGACTTGATGCCGCCCCTTCTTGACCAGCACAGGATTTGCTGGTGAGCCAAAGGATCTGCACAGAGCTACACTGCCAATCGTGTGCCCCACGAGGATCTATTGGATCCGTTGTTGCAATCGTAAGTACAACTATCGAAGCGAGCTCTTTTTCAAGGCAGCACCGGGTGTCGACGTCTCTGGCCAAGGGGCACGGCAGAGCACATTTTATGCTCGCCAGCGAATGGTGGACTGACGGACCCTCTGAAGATTCCATGTAGACTACGATCTTGCGACTCGTGGCAGCCTGCAACAACACCATCCTGATCAGAAGGCCACAGGACAAACCCCCCATGCGCAGTCTAGGAAGTAGAGGGGCCTTTTTCAGGCCATGGGGGCCCTGACCGACTGGCCGAATTCACAAACGCCGGCATCAGAATCGCCACAGGCCTCGAGACCGTCAGGCGACATCATCCGATGCCCCCTGATGTCTCAATCTGAGCCCTGCTTCTTCTTGGTCAAGTTGACCTGGGGACTCTGCGAGGCTCTCATGTGGTTGCAACTTGCTCCGGTCTCTCTCGCTGAGGAGACCGCGGTCTCACCTCAAGGAGGCAAGAGCTATTCAGGTGCAGGCTACAACAGCGTCGGATGTTGCGCGGGTTAGGGCCCCTGCGCTTCAGCACATGCAAGAGGGTCTGCGAAGACTCCAAGATCTTCATGTAAGCGGCCTGGCGTTCACGACAACGACTGTGCCGGCATCGTGTGAAGCGCCCTCTATGGTTGCTGTCACACAACCGGGTGAGTGTCTTGGACAACATGTTGAGGCAGAGTCTGGACCAGCAGTGCTGCCGTTCCCTGGGCCTGGTGATATGCATCTGCCCTGATTCCGAAACCCTTGTCGTGAAGGCAAGAAGTGACCCGTGCTGCGAATCGAAGTCCAAGCCTTGTGTGCTGCACAAACCCGGAACTCATGGCTCGAGTCGCATGGAAACGGAACCCCGGCAGCTTGGCAAGGACCTAGTACCTCCACTCCCCTTTGATCAAGTTGGGGCGAGAACTGGACTCTAGCATCTGCGGAAAGGCCTCAGTTTCCTGGATGGTCTTGTCATACTCGTTGCGAGCTTGGGTCTTGCGTACCAAGCTTTCGTTGACCTGTCAGTAGTTCCCCCTCGCCCCGCGCCCACGCCGAGACCAGGCTGGCCTTCTGCAAGCGATCTGTAAGAATCGACAGCTCTTTCTGTACCTTTGCCTTGTCCTCCTCTTCCTGCACAAAAGGGCCCATCAGGAGACTCGTAGTCCAACCCCCCCAAGCTTCGACCCAGAATCCCAAACCGCAACAAAACACACCACATACAAAAGAGCACAGGCATGAAGCTGCCGGCGACTTGCACTTATCGTGAACATGCTTGTGCCGGCGAGATGTTTTGAGGCACCGACTGACATGAATCTTCTCAAGCCATCGGATGCATGAACTGACGACCTCAAGTAGTCAGTCCTTCAGGATTTGGCGGTTCAGCTCTTCACGCTTTTCGCGCAAATCTTCGATGGACTTCACCAGCTCATTGTTGTAGTTCCTGGCAAGGGAGGATGCTTTCCTCACTCTCGGTTTCAAGGGCAGCGGGGGATAGATTTTCGCTGACCACATGAACATGATTTAAATATGTGTGGAAGCAAATACATACCTATATCTATATGTACTGATGCATTTAAATGCCTTTTTGCGTGTGCATGTATGTTGTGTGTGCGCATGTGTACGCATATACATACATATATATATATATGTATATGTATATGTACATATGCTGTATGTATACATGCGTACATGTATGCATGTGTATACGTGTATGCGTATATATGTCCATGTGTATACGTGTGTATATATGATGTGTGCATATGTGTATATGTGCTTTTGTGCACAAGTACATGCACATGTACGTGTTTACGTATGCATGTCACGCTTTCATGTGTGCAGTGTGTGTCCAACTCTGTGTATGTATGTATGTATGTATGTATGTATGTATGTATGTACGTAAGCATGTATGCATCCATGCATGCCTGCACGTATGTATAAACACGCATGCATTAAGGTCCACGAACGATTCGGATGTTCTGGCAGGCTGCAGGCAAGTTGCTGGAGTGTGGCTCCCTGGGATGCCATTTCCTTCAAAGGTGCTCGGCAGTCAACAATCGGATGTTTCCTGCCCTTGAGTGTCTTGTCTCACCCCGCACATACATACCGAGAAGCTCTCTGGGTCTGGTACTCTCTCTTGCTTTCGATGAGCATGATTCTAGTCTCACTCGCATGCCCATTTCCCTCCTGACTATTGATCAGAGTGTGTCCTCAACTTCTGCCACCGACCGAGTCCTGTAGGTTTCCCGTCCCATGATAACATCGTGAGCCTGGCGTAGACTTGCGGCCAACTCCTGAACCTTCGCGGCTTGTGAAATGCTCGACATGCGGCGCCCCACAGCAATTTGCCAGAAACTCTTTGCCCTGCCGGACCCGCTCCCACCATCTCCCACCTGCCTACCCTCCTCCACTCAAGCCAGGCCCTCCTCATATATCTCCCACCGCACCACACGCAGTCGCAAGGCTTCGTCGCGTCGTCCTGTCCGGCCGTTCAATCGGTGTGATGCCGCCTCGCGCATGTTTCTTTCACGGTGTTGAAGTTACGACACCGGCGCACCGTGACTCTCTCCCTGTCTAGACTCTATGACATGCCCTGTCATGTATCCGTAAGGCTTCTGCCTTGTTATTCCCAAAAAGTGCCTGAAGAGTGACGGCGCGACAAGGTTCCACAGAGTCCGCTCAGGTCTGAACCCAAAATCGCGGCGAAACCAAGAAAGACATGATCTTTATCTCGCACTTGTACTGCCCATACCTCCTCACAACTTCTAGTTGCCTGCATCTCGCCAGAAACAGCTTCTAGTTTCGAAACAATTAAACTACTTTCAACTATGTTCAACTTATGCAGCCACCGAACAAGCCAATGTGTGTGTGTGTGGGTTGATGGCAAGCCCAGCGCTCGTTTTCATAAGATGAACCGGCTGCGCGAGCGCAAGTGTGATTGAAAAGGACACATATGCTCCTCGCGTCAGCCGCGGGATACTCTCCGCTGCCAGTTTTGACAGCGCAGAGCAAGGCACAGCACGCCGTGAACCCACGTGCTGACTTGCGACATGCCCTGTATAACATATTCGTGTAACAGTAAGAGTAAGCTAACTTAGATGTGTTGCCATATGGCAGTTGCATGTTGGGCTCAATAGGTTCCTCGTGGTTCGTCATTGCATATCACCTTGCAGGCATTGACGCCTAAGCCTGGAGACAACGCACCAGGAGCTACTTGGGTAACATGCCGCGGGATCAGTGGCAAGCCAACTGTCAGCTGGGCACCCAATAGAACACTCATTGACTTCTTGACCGACGGCCTGGAATCAGGGGTCAGCGGCCTCTCCTGCCACGCGGTTGCCTGCTATCTGAGCGGCTACGTCGCCGCCGCGATGGGCTGCGCCGAGAGGGCGAGCGTCGGCCGCGGCTGTCCCTCCTGCGGCTGTCTCGTGGCCGGCTGTCCCGGCGACGGCTGGGAGAACGCTGTCTGGGTGGCGACCGGGACCGGCTGCGCGACCGAGGCCGGGGCGGACTTCGGGAGGGTCGTCGTGGCGACGGCCTCCGCTGGCGCTCCTGGCGCAGTTGATCTATCAGAGGCCTTCGCCCTTCACGAGGAGCTGAAGGAGAATGATCTCTTTGACCTGTAATGTCCAGAACGATGAGCGCATCCTTGCGAACATCTTCCGGGTCGGTTGTGGTCGCCAGGCTCATAGGTCCCCCAGCTGTTTTCCCCTCCTTCAGCTCGTCCACGATTCGTTCCGGGTGCGGTATGCGATTTTTCGACAAATCCAAAAAGAGCTTTGGCATGGTCTCTCTGTCGGGATGTCGATTGCGTTCCCAGTAGGCACCCTCAATGATGCGCCGGCAAAACTCTTGGCCGAAGCGGTTGCCAGCCAGGGAAACTTTCTCCGCATACCTCGAGTTCTTTCCGGCTCCGAACTTCTTCACCAGCCGTACTATCTCAAGCTCGACCAGGTCGTCCTTGTCATGACCTCACTATGTTGGAGCTTGGGAGCAAGTTTCAGAAGCGATGTCACATCTCATGCACTACGTATGCAACACCCACCCGCACACACACACACACAGAGAGTGTATTGCAGCGCCTGCCAATTGCGAGCCCACGACGTCAACCTTCCCTTCCATCGTGCCGAGCCCAACACCGCCACCAGCAGGAGCTGAAGTCCGAGATTAGACCGATTAGACAAGATAGAACTAGTTAGTCATTTGCAGTCGCCCCAGATGGCCACTTGTTCCACTTGTTCAGTGCAAGATCAGTCGTCTGATCTGCTGATGCCGCCTCACTTCTTTCCCGTGTCATCTCCTTGCCCCGTGCGTTCTGCCTTCCTGCCCCGCTTCCGATGGAGTCCATGGACTTGTCTGTCTACCCCGTTGCTGCCTTACTTGTGTGCCTCAATGCAGGTTGTTGCTACCTTTATGTGGGCACGCGCATGCCCAGTATGGCTGCAAGTGCCACAAGGACCGCGAAAGATTGCCATGTGATGAGGGCCGTGCTGTAGCCTTCCAGGTTGCAGTTATCAAAGATGACCGTGCGTGCCTGCCGGCCACCGAATCATGGGCCCAGCCGGTGCACATAGGACTCTGGAAGGATTGATTACATGATGCCTTGCATCCCGCCTCTGTTGAGACTCGAACGAACTGCACTATCAGCTGCACCGTCTCTGCTCGGCGCTTCAAGTCTCAGCAGGTTTGGGACAGGACAAGCATTCTTGTGCGGCCATACAGTAATGCTGCGCCAGCCAAGCCCGTGACTTGCCTTGACTGCTGCAGTATGCTCCTTCTTCATACCACTGCGAGACGCATTCTTTGCAAAACGCAGCTTGTCAGAACATGCCAAAACACACGGTCCGTCGGTGATGGTGGAGTCAGAAGGGAGTTGCCGCTGAGGTTGATCTCGTCAATCGGCAAAGTTGAAGTTCGGGTTGGCATCAGCCTCTGTGCAACCGACTGCTTGGCAAAATGACTCACTACTCTGCTAGCTGTTGTTCAGCGCCACGTGGCCCCTTGATGCCGCCGATTTTGCCCACAGCTTTGATCGTCTTCACCTGTGTGACATGACATCGCGCGAATGCGCCATTCTGTCAACGGAGCATGGCAACATAAAGCTGGGCAGCCGGCCAACATCTCCTTCCACGCAACATGTTGCATGACACCGCATGGCCACGAAATGCCACGAGGCATGGGTGCTCTGCATTCTGGAACTTTAGGGAACAGGAACGCCTGCGCTCCTCGGCCATGTCCTCTCCAGATAGGTCTAGCTTGCCCGTCTCCAGGCACTGACAGGGCAGGGGATCTCTCGTGAAGCACAGACTTGACACCGACACGACTCTCTTGAACATCAGCGACTCGAACAGCACTCTACTCCCAGCTGACTTTTTCATCATGTACGTCTGGCGTAGCTCACTTCGAACTTCTAGAAGCACTCTACATCCCATGTCTTGGGCCTTGTCAAGCATGCGTATGCATTTCAGAGCCGTCTCTTTGGTTCCGCATGTCTTCATCAGACCTCGGCTTACGCAGACCTCAATCTGAAACTGCTCTGTCAAAGCTGGTGGCTTTGCAGCCGCGAAGCTGATGTCATTGAGAACCTCGTCGTCCGGCACATCCTGCACCTTGCAATGAAAAATGCCGAACCCAACATCAAGCCGGTCTGACACAGAGTCTGCCTTCGGCCGGTCCGGTGCCGTGCTTCCGTTCGACACGATGCCATCCACGGGCATCCTTGGCTCGCGGCGCATCAACTTTCGAGAATCGGCCGCCCTCGATGAGGCCACCACGGCCTGCCCTTTGCACCGATGTAACTTTCCTGTAGATCTCTGGAGCCGACATCGGGCATCAGCATCTCGTCTCTGCACCAACACATCAACGTGCAAACATGCACGAACACATGAATGCAAACAATCGTGCGTACTTTTCAAATCGGCCAGCAGAGTATCCCAGTCGGGCCGCAGCCGTCTCAGGTGTGAGCTTGCTAAGCTAAGACAACTTCGAAACAGTCTTGATGAGTATGATGCCTTGGTTGGACAAGCTGTGGCCAGGAAAAAACGCGTGCAATTGCAATCGAGTTGCCATGCAACGCTGCATTTTGTCCAAATTTTGCTTTGAGTGTATACCTGCGCCAGTCTATGTCGACACTATCACTGTCCTAACAGTGCTCATCACCTGTTTGCCACGACAACAAAGTCCTTCCAGGGAGTTTTTCGTAATCCCACAGCGCTTCCAAACAGCCGGGATTGTTTCCTAAGTTGGCAAGGCTTCCAGTCGGGCGTGGCTGGCCAAGTCACCCAGCATGCGGTAATTTAACAAGCTTCCTCTGTGCGGACCGGATGCCAGCGGCTGTCCAATAAGCTTTGCAACCTTCCGTGACCAGTAGGTGCGTGCCCCAGGAATACGGCTTGATAACCTGAACGAAACCGCTGAGCGTGAAACGGATAATCGCAACTCCCAGTGCATCCAGCCTCTCGTATCACAGTTTCCGTTGCTGGCGCTACTTCCCATCCACTAGGAAGATTCTTCGCCCGGATCACCGAGATATCTGTCTTGGTCTGATAGGTATACCGTGCCTGAGCTATTTTGAAACAACCTCACGCTGGAGTGTCACACTGTAGTGATGCTACAGGAACTCCACTGCTCACGAACTCAAACCCGTCAAGCATCATCTGGCTCAGTCGTCCAAGGAGGCTGAGCTTGTGGACTGGTAAAATCAATAGTGGCATATAAATAGCCTTCCTAGGGCTGCGTTTGACATGGATTGCACAATCAACAGTGACTGGAAGTCGAGGGCATGGCCAACGAGATGGAGTGTTGTCTTTGCTCCTCTGTGATGGAAACTTCTTTCTTCGGATCTGCTCGACCAGCTGGAGGGGGAATCCGATACCTTAGTTCGTTCGAACTCAACCGGCACTGTATCTCGACACCCTAGAAGCTTCAGCATCTGCGCAAGACCACCTTTGCCTCTACTGGCGCCTGCCTTGCACCTACATTGCTGTAGCCACCAGTAAAAAAACACAAACGACTTTCCCAATGAAAAGCCTCCGGGCCTCATCAAGGTCTCTTCTCTTCTTTTGCAACATTGAGCCGGCCGAGGTTTCGGAACCCACAGATATTGATATTTCGTCTGCGAGACCCAACAGAAATGACACTGACAGGACCACGATGTGGGTATGTATCCCTGCTACAAGTAAGTACACCAGCCGCAATCTCAGAACGGTGCCAGTGACTCTACTTACATAGTTTAACCAGAACTCGTCGAGATGCGCAGGTTGTGGGTTGCCTCTGCCGCGGCTGCGGCTGCGAGCGCCGTTGCTGCGGCTGCGGCTCTCCTAAGAACATATCTTAATGTCCTAATGAGCTCAGGGCCTCAACATGCTTCAGCAAATCGTGCCCGAGCCTTTCGGCTTCCTCTCCCTCGGCTTCTGCTGTCCATCCTGCGACAACTGCACGTGCCGACTTCCTTATTAGAAGGCGTCTCTGTATCACACATGTACACGGAGCACTGTCCGGGGTCTGCTTGTACTCCGATGGCGCTGGCTCCTGGCACAAGAAAGGATATGGAAACCTGAGATTTTATGAACCATAGGGCTGTCCTTTGAGGCTTGCTGCGGGTTCTGCTTCGGCTGTCCATCCGTCTGGATGCATACCTTGGTATGCCCAACTCTTTCGAAATACAAAAAAATCCTAGCACAGCCTTATTGGACTTAGCTTTGCACCTCTCGCCGCTGTCACCTCTTCGCCGGCTGCCGCCCATGTTTCCAACTGGTCAAAGGACCATGTGCCCTGCGGGATGCTCTGCTTAGGAACTCGTCGGCCCATTCCTGACTTGAGCTCTCTTCAAGAGTTGGCTGGTGCTCGCGCACGAGCTGTTTTGGGATGCTAGTGTACCTGGCGAGCTTGCGAGGAAGATCATGGCATGCTACCTCGCTTCCTGCTCAGGAACAGCTTCCAGAAGGTTTAAGACTTTAAGAGCTCGGCAGCACACACACACACACACTCTCTGATTGAGGTGCACTTGGCTGGCATGGGCCGATAATATCAAGTTTCGGCAATTTTCTCCAATTTCAAGACTGTTTCTGAGGCACTGGTCATAGTCTGCTTTCGGCCTGCCTATTTCGCTTACCTTGTACAAGTGCGTGGGATCTCTCGTTTAAAGATCTCACATGTTGCATAAATCCCCGTCTGCATGTGGAAGAGGCAGATGAGGCAGCAGCAGCACTGCAGCGCGCGTTTCACACGACGCTTAGCACCTGGATCTGTTTTGAACAGTTCAAGCCAGCTGCCTTTGGCAGGCGGACGTGGTGCAATTCGTGGGAAAAACAATCACGACCAGTTAGCTAAACTCTTGCACCAGTGGCTGTAATTACAAAGCCCGGTATGGTGCATCTCAAATCTGATTCTCAGCATTCAGGCTTTCAAAGGTTTGCTGCAAGCCATCCTAACGGCTGGACATTGCGAGCCGCATGCTGGGTGGCTTTATGCGCCCGAGGTTGACGAACACGCAACCTCAAATCTCCAAACAAGGAAACCGAGAGAAAGCGAGAGAGCCAGTTGACATGTTCGGGGGTCTCCAAAGTAACCGTGCGAGCCCTGCAGCGCTGATGGCGCTGGGCGTGCAAGGTTCGCAATGCAAAAAAGCCAAGAGACTGGGTCCTTCGCCGGAAGCACATGCTTTCTCAAACGGGTTGCGCTGCTTCCACGGCTCTTTCTTGGCAGCATCCTCTGAAGAGCCGTCCATGAAAGAGAAGACCTTTCACTGCAGTATGGCACTTTGGAATCGGAATTGGAGCTTGCAAACTTCAAGGTGCCTTCCTACCGGACAGTTCCGCGTGCTGCTCCTTTATGAAATTCAGCAGCTCTTCAGCATCCACACCGTCCCCATTCCGGTCCATACCTGATGCACTCGGATGTCCCCAACGCGGAAAATCACAGTAGCGACCGGCGAGAGACGACTCTTGGACTCTAGGAAGCGGGCTCTTGTAGAACTGCTTCAGTTCCATGTCGCCCACGTCGTATGCAGTGAGATGGAGGTTTTGTCGAGCGAAATAAAGAAATTCCAGCCTTTGAATACAGGTTCGGGCATGTTCCGATCGACACAGAACTTCATATACTGACATGGCAAATCGGTGTAAGGTGAACCGGCTTCCGAATGCATGAAGTCTGAATCTGCAGGACACAACCCTAGTGGCATCGAGGCTTGGCCAGAAGGCTCTGGGTGACCTGTCTATGCAGCCGGCTTGCAAAGATATTTTCCCATCACCACCCGCATCAATATTTGCAAACCTCGGCCCATGCGGAGCCCTGCGGTCGTGTATGTTGTGCTCCATGTTCCAGATGGCTCAACCTTGTTTTCAAGCTCCGCACAGCTCGTTGATTGCTGAATGTGATGCAGTATACTTCCTTGGTCGCGTCAGCGCAGCAAACAACGATGCTCTGAGGTGCCCGGCTGCGGCTGGGTCTCCGAAAGGCCAAGTTCAGATTGCGCCGGACCCGCGCCGTCTTCTTTTCTAAAAGCCTGTTTTCATCATCAGGCCGCTTCGAGCCGTGGGACACGTACTCGAGAAGCTCCGACCTAGAGGGAGGGCGCGAAGAGCGTATCATCCTGGATGACATGTTCGGTGCTGCAGCTAGGAGGCATTTCCACGGAGCCACTCTTGTCGTGATCAATGACATCGAAAAGAACTTGCAAGTCATAGTCAGGAAGAGTTTCGGGAGTGATTCGAAGTGCTGCTCGCACTGCCTCAGACTCGACACGGCAGCCGCACTCTCGGACCATTGTGCTTGTGCATGCTTGCTGGATGTTCTTCGCTCCACCTGCTTCAGCTCCTTGGCATCCAAAGCGCCGGACCTTCGAAGAAGCGTTTTCTGGATCGAGTCTTGGAGTGTCAAGTTTCACCAAAGCTGTTCTATTCTAAGCAAGGCGCTTGTCAGAATCGGCAGCGGCAAAGACTTTGTCCCAGGACATTTCGCGATGGGCCTCCAGTGGTCGCAGCACGAGCTGTAGCTGGAAGCCACTTGGAGAACTGATGAAGCACAGGAAGACTTGGATTGAGTTGAAGCCCTTTCCTTTTGGCTGAAGCCCTCTGGCCTTGGCCGAAATGATGACCCGCCGAGCTCGCGCCAGGATCTCCTCGTTGCTGGGCTTCCGCCCTACGATGGGTGACCGGTTGTGATTCTGACCAGTCCTCATCGGCTTTCTTAGCAGCGAGATACCGCTCAAGCAAAAGGAAAAGACTGCACGGGCAAACACGCCAGCTGCTAGCTGCTGGCCCCGGTGCTTGGGCCCATCATCCCCCAGAGTACGGCAGTGCTTGAAGGGGGAAACAAAGTGTTCCCTGACCTGGGCCAACAAGCAAAACATCCCCCAAGAATGACAAAAACACCCTGTTCAATGCGCCGCTTGACGATGTAGAAGCTCTTGTGTGCATGTGCACTCATGAGGACTCGTGTGTTTAGCCAAGGATTGGCATCCCCTTTCACACTGAGATGTGCGATTGCGCCAGTTTTCTAAGCCTTTTCTGCTTCCTCGCCGAAGAAACCGAAACCATTGCACTACCGCACTGAGACATGGATGCACACTGCATAGACAAATTGAGGCCGTGAACAAGCCACAAACTTCCAAAACCCACACGTCTCCGGCACGAGAAGCCGCCGAAGAAATATCGAAGAGGAGCAACATAATTGAGACTGCTAGAAAACGCCGGGACGACCAGTCTGCACAAACGGTCTCGCCTATCCACAAAAATCCCTCAGCGTTTGGAGACAACCTCGTCGCTGAAGTGGCCTAACCATCCATTTCGGTACTCATGTACGACCGGTGCCTTTCCATGACTACCACCCCGAGCCTGAAAGCACTCATCACTAACCTTGTAGTGCCGGTTCAGACGTCCCATGGCCGCGTGAGGACAAAATGCAAGCGACGCCCCAATGCACGTGGACACGAGCAGCTCGCGCTCGACGAGACGAGACTCTCCCCGGCCAGGCTCATAAAGCAAAACACAAAGCCAGCATATTCCAAACTGTGGAGGTGGCTGGGAGATTCTAAAAGGCCTTAACCCAGGGGTTTCTTTGGACTGAAGCGGAGCAATGTTCGCAAGAACACCCCGGAAGAACTGCGCACCCCTTTGCATGGAGCCAGAACTTTGGAAGCCTGAAACTCCACCTGGCCCAGAAACCCGGCTTGATTTCAACCCCGAACCATCGCGATGGTAGGAGGACACTGCTAAGCGGGAAGAAGAAGGATAGCAGCCTTCATCAGCGATGAGTTTGCATTCGAGGCACCTCATCTCTGGAGATGCACCGCCGTTCTTCCCAGTTGGAGGTGTCGGTGTCAAAGGTGTGTAGAACTTTCGAGAACTCCCGTGGCTCTCGTTGAATGGAGCTGCATCCGGCAGTGATGGAACAAAGCACTTGTGATAAGTCTCTGCGCCTGCTCAGCGAGAGCTTTGAGCGCCTAGGCGCCATTCTCTCATGAGGTGAGGCCGCGACATCTGACTGCACACTTGCTAAGTCTGACTCCTTTGGTCCGAAGAGCCACCATGCAGAGTGAAAGCTGTGTTCGTCGAGCTGCTTACAATTTTGGAGTCCTAGCCTTCACTGTGAACCTCAAAGGCGGCGCTCCCTCTGTTTTGCCCGATGCGACTCGCGATTCGGCGAGGTGGTCCAACCATTGCAGGCCACGCCGGTAAACTGCCACTATGTCCTCTGTGGAAATAGGCGCATACCTGGGTAAAAAATCAACAATCAACAGAAAGCGGTGTATCAGACTTGACCTTTAAATGAAGAAAGCAGTAGTTTAGTGGCCAATATCGAATCGCAGGTGCTGCCCCGGAAGAAGCGACTCGGCGAAGCCCTTCTCGGCTCGAGCCGCTTGCGCTGAGGCTTCTGCTTTGTCCTCTGCTGCTGCCTGCTCCAAGCTGGCCGGGCGGACAGGGACTCCACGGATTTCCCCGATCCTTGCAGGGGTCAGCGGGTCAAGTTCGCGCTCTGCGCACTGAGACTGCAGATACTGCAGTTGCGGAAACTGAGGCCAGCTGGCCTCGTGCGGATGAGCTGCTTGCAGCTGTAGCCTGGGACCGCAATGTATGCCAACAGCAAGTGTATAAAGCTTCTCCTCTCATTCTGGCACTCTCTGGAGATGCAGGAAAGAGCTGAGGCGATCGCCCAAGGCAGCCATCATCCGTCGCACGAGGTGGTAGCGGCCAGAATCCACCACCAGCCTTAACCTCGCAAGACCCAAGGCCTCGTTGCACTGCAGCACTTCCGCTTCCAGGGCAGCGGCCAGCGCCTTACCATCTAAGAGATCTACTCCGTCAGTCAACTGCCTTAGGGTCGCTTCTGTCGGCGGCCGGAAAGGCAAGCACGCATCAGCTCCAGGACCAGATGCGGCAGGAGCGATCAAGACCACGTACTCCTTCTCCACGTGTGTCTCGGGCATTGATGCAGTTCTCGTGAAGAAGCCGTCGGTGGTGACGAGCAGCAAGCCCTCACTCCGCGCATCCAGTCTGCCAACACAGTGACAGTCCTCTGCACCCACCGGATACACATCCGATACGATCAGAGCATCGGGTAGCTCCCGAACGTGCGAGCAAACCACCCCGCGTTGCTTGTGGAGCTTGATGTATACTTCCTGGCGCCGAGGGGCCTTCAACTCTTGGATTTTCCCACGCTTAGTTTTGAAGACTGAGACGACTCGATCATTCTCCACCATCTCCAGCTCATCCTCAGCACGTCGGCCATCGATCGCCACACGGCCCAGGGCTACCTGGCGCCTTGCAGCGCGGACACTGCCGTTGGTTGCCAGTGCCACACAGCGCAGCAGTGGCACTGCGGCTGCAGCCACCGCAGGCCAGCCAGGCAATATAGGTGTTTGATTGATAGCAGCACTGCTGCTGGCCTGGGCTGCCGCATGCCGGGGAAGTTGTCGCCGTTGCCTCCCGATGCGAGTAGTGAGCCGGGACAGCGCCGCCCTCGAGGATGCTATCATGCAATCGGTCCCCACCGCTGCTGCCAACATGCCACCGGGGCCGCACACCCTTGCCAAGTCATATGCTATTGATATTGGCAAAACTCACTTGGCAGCAACTGCACACTGGGGCATCTGGGGCTTGAGGACTGCGCAGCCTACAACATCCATCACAAGGAGAAACTCTTGTTGCATAATCTCAGGACTGACTGGACGAGCAAGAGCTGATGCCTTGAGCACTCCTTGAGCCAAAGCCATGTTGAGATTGATTCCGTACCATTGCCTTGGGTTGAAAACGGCTGAGACCTGAGCTATAGCATAGACAAGCAAAGGCTCCTGACACCCCCCGACTAAGCTTGAAAAAAATCCCCTATGTAACTCGCGCTTGCTGTCCTGGCGAACTGAGTCGCTTACAAGCGGAGTGCATCCAGTCTTGCGCAGTGTGGTACATGGCGATCAAAGCTCACTGCAAAGCCCCGCAGACGCAGCAAACCGTTGGTTGGCACCCAGGACGGGCGGAAAAGCAACTGCGAGAATTCGGCGGAGGGCTCTACTGCAGAGTCAAGATCACATCGGCGCACAGTGTCTAGTCTATGCATGCATCGCGGGACAGTGTGTGGCGAGCTTGGGAGGGAAGCTTGCATCGGCATGAAAGTGCCACACGCGGTTCATGATGTGGCACAGTTAATGGTCCCTTGGCGAGCTGTTTGGAGACGCAAAGTATCAAATACATGATAACTTACAGACGTGCAGGGTTTTTTGGTGCACGTTCGGATGTGCTCTCACGAACCGATGCAATGCAAGCCGGCTTGGGGCTCCAAAGGCGTGGGGTGCAGCGCTCACCGCCGCGGGATCCATGTGCACAAACTGGCAAGCCTGTTTCGAAACTGCAATGCCGCATGCCGACAAACCTCCACAGTCCCCGAAGCAGCGTAAGCAGGCATGCTGCGCTGAAAGCAGCTGATGGCCACCCGCTCGGCTTCCACAGGGCCACCAAGCAAGAGAAAACCCCAGCTTGTTCGTTTGCACCTCTCTTTCTTCAACATGACAGATCTCACTCAACTACAAAACTGCAAACTCCGATAAGGTATCCCGATCATGGCTGAAGGTGATTGCATCCTGCTGCCAGCAATGCATCGCATCTCTTGATCTCTCTCCGCATGCAAAGCGCAGGTCTGCAGGCACTAGTCAAGCTTGCTTTGAACCAGCTGTCGGCCATGCGAGCCCGCGAAGGAGCTTCTGGAGCATATACCATGCTCCAGGCATGACGTCTTAGTCTATGGCAGCGGGAAGAAGGACGGATCCTCATACTTTTCCGGCCTCGGTCCCGGATTGTCACGTGGTTCGAGCTCGCCGGACACGTTGCAAGCCCATGTTCTGTACTGTGACAAGCAGCGTGTGAAGAACACGCTCTCGTGGTGGAGGCCAGGGAGGATCTGCCTCGTCTTGAACCGGATCAGCAATTTCCGACAGGTCTGCGACAAATGCGGAATCCGGGCGCAAGAGCGCGAGCCTCACGAGTGGAGACGAAGACCCGCTTCGTCACCATGTCAACATCCAAAATCTTCACTGCCACGTGCTCTCCCACCTAGCAGCTCCACAGATTTGGAGCATTCAGCACGATGCCACTACGCGAGGAGCTTGCCTGCAGCTGTGCAGGATCAGACGAGCTCTGCAGGTCCTCGCAGAAGCCACGGATCCGAGAGTCCTTCGGCATCAGTTTCCACACGTTTCTCCCCCACGACCATGCAGCAAATCCCCGAAACAAGCTCACAACCGCGAGTCCTCACCAAACTTGCCCATGGCCATGCCATTGACAATCAAGCCTGCGAACTCTTGCGATCCTCTTCTGTCTCAAAATGCGGCGATGTGCGCGACAAGGCGCCGATAAAGCTCCCGTAGGGCCTCACAGGAGCAACACTTAGCAAACACCTGCTCGCTTCAGTGCACACAACGAGGCGGTGCGTGCCTGAGCTCCTGAATGACACCGCGAACGGTTGCGCCGATGGGTAGGAAGTCTACGAGTGCCTGCCAAGCAACCAAAGCCGTCAGCGAAGGCGCGACAAGCGTGGCAGTCATATTATGGACCTCTTCCCATGTCAGTGGCCGCGGCTCTCCCTCCCTGTCCTCTGCAGGGAGGGCGAAGAACTCCTGCAAGCTTTCGCGAGCACATGACGCAGAAAGAGATCTGCAATTCTATCAGTCCTTCGGTTTGTCTCTTCTGCCAGCATCCTGCCAAATCGCGCGTCTTTCAAAAGATTGCGCGTGCACACAGGGGCATTCGATTTCAATCTTCCTTCGGCCCAGCTCGCAAACTGCCGGTCTGCACAAAACGTGTCTGCGAGCGCCTGCTTCTTTCAGCATTCAGAAATTCAGCTTTCATGTGCAAGTCCCTTCCACGACTAGGACCCAAGCTGGTCGGGAATCGGCGGAGGCATCGGCGGCTCTTCTGGAGGCGGCAGGGGCCAAGCGGACTCCTGCTCCTGCGACGAGGTCAGAGAGGAATGTATCGGAGGTTGCTTCATGGCCGTAACTCAAAGACAACTCCGAGAGCTCGTCGAAGTTCGACTTCTCGGAGTCGGGCCGGCCTGTTGTTCGACCTCGCGCTCGATGCTTGGTAAAGGCGGCAAGGGTGGCAGCGGCGGCAGAGGCGGCAAAGATGGCGGCGGTGGTAAATCCCTGAGTCTACAGGCACGAGAGCTACGCGCAAGGAAACAGCCGTCAAAGGCGCGGGCTCAGCTCGCAAGTACGTCGAGGACGTTCTGAAGGATGACACCAGTGGCCGCCCTCTCTCGGAGTCCGTGCCACAGGCAGCGGGCAGGTACAAAGGCAAAGATCTTCTTCGCAGATGGCCTACTAGTGTGAATGCTGCGGGAGCCGCAGCCAGCAGCATCAGCGCGATGCTTTGTACCTGGACAGCAAGCAGTATAAGCTGACAGCGCGGGCATGGACACACTTGTGCACTGCGTGCCCTGTTCCACCGTCTTCTCCGCGTCCTGAGTGGTATGAGTTCATGGAGTCTTCACAGGTCGCCGCAATGCAATTACACAAATTACACTGGTCCTTGTAGGGCCCAGCCCGCAAGCGCCGTGTCTGGGATGAACTGCCACCACGCAACAGCAGTGAAGGAATGAGACGCTGCATGCAATGGTCAGAAACGCCTGGGAGTCCCCGAACATCTGCAGCATCTGCTTCCAGCTCAGCTGTCACCATGTCGGACCTACACCCACCTGGTACTTGCCCTTCTGTTGGTCGAAACTTCGATGCTGTTCGAAGCGGTACATCATAACTTGGACTTGGATGGATGCAAACGCAGCGCGTTCCAAAAGGGCTGTCATATGTAACGTGTTGTGGATCAATTCCTACCCCGAGCAGGGAACTTGACATTTGCAGGCGAATGGGAGTACTGCAGATGTCACTGTTCACGACAGTCGGACCGCGTTCTGAAAGTCTTCAGGCTAGCCACGTTTTTTCTGGGACTTTGCCAGGAATCAATGTCTCAGCTGTCGCTGAACGTGCAGTCGCGCGAAACTGCCCTATGCCTATGCCACTGAAATGGCCGCATGCTGTTGCTCTACGATGGATAAATAGTGGTTGGCTCACGAAGCGCACTCGAGGCACCTCGCAGCCCGCTGCGTGACTCCTACGCAGGCCGCAAGAGCACTGCATGTCGCATTCGGCTAGGCGGCTAGCCAACTACGACCACAGTCCGAACCAAACTCTTCACCTCGTTGTGGCGCTGAAGATTGTCCAGATGGCTCTCAATCCTTGGTAGTGGCCGACTGCCTTTGAGAGTTCACCCTGCCTGTGCTGAGGTCTCAGGTATTGGCCGACTGTGCAGGTCCTGAAAGCTGTAGGTCCTGACAATGTCAAAAACAAAGGACTCCCTTACAGGGCCGCACAGACGCGGTCCCGGTCCTGCCCGGGCTTGATGAAACACCACGAGCCTGAGCAAACCGTGGGGTCTCGGGGTGCGATGTGGCTTAAGTCTAAGTCCTTTCGGCCTTCGTTGTCGATGTGCTCATTGGTCGTGTCTCGACAGTCAGGTTTGTGGATCTGACTTCCCGCTCATGGACCATACCCCCGTAGCCGAGGCCGGCTTCAACAGAAATGAACAAGGCCAGCACAGCGGAGAGCGCAGCGAAAACGAATTCAACTGCAACTACACTGAGTCTTGATGCATTGCTATGGTGCAACGTCATCGGCAGCACTATATTCGAATGGCATAGCATGCATTAAAGGATAGAGAGGCCCGTCACGCAGATATGAAAAGAGGACAACAGAAACAAAACAACAGATATATCAGCGGCTAACGAACAAGGACAACAAGCACCGTCCTGACGAAGAAGAGAACATAACAACTAGCACCGGTAGTACTGCTACTGCTGCTGCTACTGCTGCTGCTGCTGCTGCTGCTGGTGCTGCTGCTGCTGCTGCTGCTGCTGCTGGTGCTGGTGCTGGGGCTGGTGCTGGTGCTGGGGCTGGTGCTGGTGCTGGTGCTGGTGCTGGTGCTAGTGCTGCTGCTGCTGCTGCTGCTGCTGCTGCTACTACTACTACTACTACTACTACTACTACTAAACACTACTACTAAGCACTACTACTAAGCACTACTACTAAACACTACTACTAACTACTACTAACTACTAACACTACTACTGCTACGACGACGACTACTACTACTGCTACTACGCCCAGCAATAAATGGTAAGGCAAGGTAGTAGGACTGTTTAGTTTAACTGTTGCTGTTGCTGGTGTAGTTGTCCTTGCTGTTGTTGTTGTTGT